TGGAGTCTGGGGAAAGCTCTGAGGAGGGCTCTGTGTCGGAGGCAGAGAGGGGGCCAGGACCACCTGATAGTTATCAGCTGCATTCAGAGTCAGACATCCATGAGGCAGAAGAACAGCTGGAGCCTGTTCCCAGTGTGCACATGCGCAGAGTGGCCAGACGAAGGGAACAGCTAAAGAACAGGGGTTGACTTGGGAGTGAGGTCACAGGTGGACGGTGAATGGCCCCTCCCATAGGGAATAAAAGAGGAGCGAAAGGGGAGGGTAGTTTGCAGGAGACAGTTAGTTCAATTCATTAGGGTGAAGGTCTGTTCCTGACTTCCTGCCAAGTAATTGCTGCTACAGCATGGCGTTTGGAAGATATCGGCCTGGCAACACTCCAAGCCTGATGAAGGTCTGAGTCGGAGATCAGTGGGGCAGAAGAACAGCTGGAGCCTGTTCCCAGTGTGCACATGCGCAGAGTGGCCAGACGAAGGGAACAGCTAAAGAACAGGGGTTGACTTGGGAGTGAGGCCACAGGTGGCCGGTGAATGGCCCCTCCCATAGGGAATAAAAGAGGAGCGAAAGGGGAGGGTAGTTTGCAGGAGACAGTTAGTTCAATTCATTAGGGTGAAGGTCTGTTCCTGACTTCCTGCCAAGTAATTGCTGCTACAGCACGGCGTTTGGAAGATATCGGCCTGGCAACACTCCAAGCCTGATGAAGGTCTGAGTCGGAGATCAGTGGGGCAGAAGAACAGCTGGAGCCTGTTCCCAATGTGCACATGCGCAGAGTGGCCAGACGAAGGGAACAGCTAAAGAACAGGAGTTGACTTGGGAGTGAGGCCACAGGTGGACGATGAATGGCCCCTCCCAGGGTAAATAAAAGAGGAACGAAAGGGGAGTGGAGTTTGCAGGAGATAATTAGTTTGTTTATTCGCATGAACATTTTGTTTATCATGCCTCACAGTGATTCCTTGCCAAGTATTTCATTCTACAGCATTGTGCTTGGAAGCTATCGGCCTGGCAACTATCCAAGGACTGATAAGGCCGGTTGTTGCAATTAAACCTAGAAAGGCTTATTGCCAGGACTTTGCTGGATGTGAATGCGATGAGCCAAATAAAAAAGGTGTTTTTTGGGGGTGGGGAGCGGGGACAATGATTCTGTTAAGCCTAGGTCAGAACACGCGATCCCCTTTTGCGACCTTCTGACAAGCAAAGTCAACGGGGACGCCCAATTCACAGAACAGATGTGTGACTAACTTAACAACTGCAGTGATTTGCTTAAGAACTGTGGCAAGACAGCTCGTAACATGGGGCAAGACTCGCTTTTAAAAAAAATATCGCGCTTAGCAACGGAAATTGTGGGCTCAATTGTGGTTGTGTGTCGAGGACCACCTGTGAAATGGGAGCAGCATTAAGAGAATAGGGAGAAGCTGTAATACATGTAGAATGAGCCACAATTGCTGGTCCCAAGGTGTCCATACAACCTCATTCAGCCACTGCTAAATAGTTCTACCAGGTTTCCCTGAAAATAAGACAGGGTCTTATTTTCTTTTGACCCCCCTGAAATAAGCCCTTGGCCTTATTTTCGGGGAGGTCTTATTATTTTCGAGGTGCAGGAGGCGGCGAGCATGGTCACCTCATAGCTGCGGCTGTGTTGCAGTATTTTCGGGGAGGGCTTATTTTAGCGCATGCGTTCAAAAGCCCAATTGGGCTTATTATCCAGGGAGGTCTTATTTTTGGGGAAAACAGGGCATTTATTTACCAGGTATATCAAGCCCAGCTTTAAAATAGCAATAGCAATAGCAATAGCAGTTCGATTTATATACCGCTTAATAGGNGAGTCAGACATCAGTGAGGCAGAAGAACAGCTGGAGCCTGTTCCCAGTGTGCGCATGCGCAGAGCGGCCAGATGAGGGGAACAACTAAGGATGAGGGGTCAACTTGGGAGTAAGGCCACAGGTGGACGATGAATGGCCCCTCCCAGAGGATATAAAAGAGGAGCAAAAGGAGAGTTTGCAGGAGACCATTAGTTCGCTTAATTGGTTCGTGACTCTCTGAGACTCCTTGCCAAGTTCTTGGCAAGATACCGGCCTGGCAACTCTCCAAGCCAGAGAAGGTCTGTGACTGTAAATCCTCCCTCGAAAAACTTTGCTAGATGTGAATGAGCAGAATTCACAGTCAATTAATAAAATAAGGTTTTTGTCGGGACCAGGAGTTTGCTTCCTGCTCTTGGGAAGCCTTGATCAGAACAGTATCCTTCCATCTCCCTAAATCAAAAAAGCAAAAAAAAAATCCTGCAGATTTAAGTTATTTGCGTCAGGCACATTAATTTCCTCCATGTAGGCACATTCATTTCCTCCATGCCAGCAAACCGCTACTGTGCTGAGGAAGAATGAATCATCATCTTTCGGGAACTTGCAAGTCATGCTGATAAACAGGTGAAAAAGCAACAACAATAGAAATTCTCCTGTTTGGCAGCCCAGCCTCTCCCAAATGCAGCATACCCTTCTCAAACAGACTAGATTAATTTTGGAGATATTTTAATGAGGGTTGCAGAAAAGAAACTAAATAAAGCTCCCCTCCAAAATTGGGTTTGTCCCAAAAAGGAAAGAAGGACACAGTATTAATCAGAGGAAGGTTTAAAAAGTTTATAGGACAATCTCATTGCCTTAACTGCAAAAGAGCAAACATGTAGCAAAAGGTAAGTTTACCTATAAGAGTGACGGGGACACCGTATTCCAAAGCGGAAATCGCTGTCCATTTTCCCGTTCCTTTCTGCCCAGCGCTGTCCCTGATTTTAGGAAGCAAGTGTTTCCCATCGGCGTCGCGGAATTTCAAGATGTCAGCTGTGATTTCAATCAGGAAGGAATCCAGCTCGGTCTTATTCCACTCCTGGAACACCTGAGAAAGAGGGGGTGGGGTGGAGGGGAGTCAGTCCTGCATTTGGTGGGCCTAAGCCTAAGGAAACCCTGTTCCATCAACAGTTAAGTTTCTGGAAAGTTATGTTACCCAATTTAGAAGAGATATCTAAGGATGACATGTGGCCATGATCAATGAATTGATCTATGGTAGAAACATGGGGGCAGGGATGGGGGTTGGACAAGAAGACCTCCAAGGTCCCTTCCCACTCTGTTATTCTGTTACATGCTGGTCTATGATCATGTACAATATTTCCTTTTTTCCTTGCTTCCTTTCTTCCCCCTCCTTTTTTCCTTCCTCCCTTCCTTCTCCCTCCCTCTTCTTCCTTCCTTCTTTCCCTTCCTCCCTCCCTCCCTCCCTTCTCCCTCCTTATCTCCCTTCTCCTTCCTTTCTTCCTTCCCTCTCCCTCCCTCTTTCTTCCTTCTCCCTCCCTCCCTTCTCCTCCTTGCCTTCCTTTCTTCTCCCTCCCTTCCTTCACTCACCCTCTCTCCTTCTTCCTTCCTTCTTCTTCCCTTCCTTCTCCTTTCTCTTCCCTTCCCTTCCTTCCTTCTCCCTCCCTCCTTCTTCCTTCCTTCCTTCCTCCCTTCCTTCTCCCTCCCTTCCTTCACTCACCCTCCCTCCTTCTTCCTTCCTTTTCCCTTCCCTTCCTTCCTTCTCCCCCCCCATTCTTCCTTCCTTCCTCCCTTGCTTCTCCCTCCCTTCCTGGAGGCTCAGCAGGCTGAGATGGTCAGCTAGTTCCAGCCCATGATGCAGTCCCACTGGA